TCTCTTCCTCTTTTTGAATGATGATGCGTCCGAATGATTGTCCCTCTCCTGAATGGGAATGAGTTTGCATCTTGTTTCTGCGTGAAGGAACTTCTTCCGGAACTCTTCCACTAGTTTCCTGGGTAATCCCCTTACGCAAGGACCCTGTCTTCTTGTCTTGTGAACGGTGGATGCGTGTGTACTGTGCAATGCGATCTATCCTTTCCTATGCATGTCTCATTTTCGCACCTTCCACAGTGGATGCATGCATGGAGACGTGTGACTCTTTTTTATTAGACGATCGTCATCGGAATTTTGTCCGAGAATGCAAGAGTGTTTAGATTTGTAGCTCTGAGTGCCCTGCGCATGCCATTTGCCTTATGTTGTCCGACATCATTAGCCGACCCACGAGGTGGCCTCGAGAAACAAGGCGCCAGGGATCAACATCGCGCTGGCTAATTAAACTTGAGCCGCGGATCGGTCCGTCAGTTGCATGCATGATTAAACTGGCGAGTGTTTTTTCCTCCTTGTTGGATAAAAAGGATTGATTGAGGAGTTTTTCCTCTTCGTGATTGATATGTGGACTGACAAGTACCCTCCGATCGGGCGTCAGCCTCCCGTACATCCCGTACCCACACGTCCTTTTCCCTACAACGAGGAAAGGACACGTGTAGGCGAGTGGGACGTACGAGAAGCTGTCGCACAGATCGGCGAACGATACTACTTCCCTCCGGCAAACCGTTGTTCGGGGTTCGTAGAGGCTGGGTTTGTTATTATCGACACACACTTCCCACCCTACTCAATATTGCTCCCCTTTAACGAACTGATCGTCATCCCGTGGACGACAGTGGCGCCCCATTGGCCTCGAACCCTGTGCACAGAGTGCCAGCGTTTCGATCGCTATGAAGCGAAGGGCTTCCACTACCGAATACGGAGTGAGGACGAGCACAAGGAGAGAGCCACGCGTCTGTGACCCTCCTCCTCAGACTCAGAACTGACCAACGAACGACGACGGGACTTGATCCGAAAACGAGACACGCGAAGCGTGCCGAAGCCCTTCCGCTCTAAACGACGGGCCGTAGCATGGTGAGAAGCCCGACAATACTTCCTAGATTGAATGTGGATTTTTCTCTCTTCGCGCCTTGTCCGTGCGCGCATTCCGCGACGCGCGAAAACAATCGACTTGCTTCATCGGACCAACATGGGGGATTTCAGTTTCGTCTGTGTTCCCACTTTCAATTTCCAAAAATCCTTGGCACACCCCATCTTGCTGTTTTTCTGGGCCTCTTTCCGCACAATTAACACTCTGAACGAAAGACAGCACGGGCCGTGAGGTTGGTATCGGAGCCGACACGTGTCGGTTCTGATGATAGTAAGTCGAACTGGCGAGAGGTAGGAAAGACCCTCAACTAGCCCGTCGGGATCGCCCAGTGACCAGGTCTCAGTCTGGTGCGGCTGTACCTGCAATACCAAGGGCGGATGGTACTAGGGTGATCGTTAGCATCCCTGCCCCCTTCCCCGTCTTCCCTAACCATACTCATCCCGAGGCTTGGCTGGAACCTGTCGAAGCTCAGAACTACAGCGCAACCGACCTCCCCCGCGTTCTGACATTGCTACTTCGTAACACATCCCGTGACTAGTTTAGGAAACATACGTGGGTAGATTGAGACACTTTCAAGCGAGCATTTTTGGCTCGATTTGATACGGTTAGTGAAGATGCCGCCTGGTATGTACTCAAAAATCGACCTCAAGGACCTGGGGAATTGTTGCCCGATTTCGTCGATCGGTTCCAAACCACGTTGGACAAATCCAGGCGGGACGAGAAATCCGCTCGAGATTTATTCATCGATCACCTACGAAGTCCGACATTAAAAGGC